GCATCGACGTCTACCGCGAACTTTGCTCGATCTCCGGCGATGTTCCCGATGTCGACTACGACACATCGGCCGAACTGGCGTCGTACCTGCTTGCTCCGAAACCGCGCGCCGAGCAAAACCAGATTCAAAGCGGACTGAGGGCCTTCTCGCACTGGACTACCATCAAGCTGGCCATGGCTGATCAAGTTCCTACGGCGCGACGTGCCGCGGACGATATGGCGGAAATTGTCAGCGGTATCCTGGGCGAAACAGTCGTAATCAATAACATCCGTAACGCTCGGGGCGATCTTCGCGAACGCCTTCTGCGCAGTGGGCTGGAAGGTCTCGGCAGCCAACCGATGCGATCTGGGGAACTCTCACCACAATTGGCCAACGAAATGGCGATCTTCCTCGGCGATCATTATCGCGAACATGTACGTCTGGAAGGGATTGCCACCGATCAGCTTTCCAGCAATGCCCTGCCGGCTGCGGTCGCGACGCTGCTGATTGACGCTGAAAAAGCACGGCTCGAGCAAATGACGCTGACCGATAACGAAACCGCCAAACTGCAAGACATAACGCGGCGCGAGATCGCCCTTGACTACCTGAGCAATTCACCGGTCGCGTCCATGGTCGCCAAGCAGCGCATCTGGATCCGACTTCTGGTGATGCGGCACGGCAAGGAACGTCCGCAACTGCAAGGACAGCTAGGCCAAATCGTGGATCAACTGGAACGGCAAGATGCCGATGCCACGAACTTGATTCAACAACTTCGCAGCGGCGAACTGGCTTTGGTCAAACTGTGGGAACTGACAGGAGGATCGGCATGACGTTCAAAGCCTGTGTGCCGAGCATGGCCGTAGTACTGGCAGTACTCTTTCCGCTTTCATCCGCGCTAGGGGCCGTCGTTTACCTGAAAGGCAAGAAAGAGCCCGTTGCCGGTTTCGTGGAATCTTCCGACGACGACAGCATCGAACTACGCATTGAAACGCCTGAGGGAGAGCCGCTGCATCGTCGCATTCTTCGTACCGAGATCGACTTACTGCTGCAGCCGGTCAGCCCCAGCCGTTTGGCACAGCTTTCTCCTGAGAATCCCAAAGCGTACCGTGAGTATGCTGAGGAGCTTGTCGAGAAAGCCTCCGATCCGGAAGCGGTCGAAACGGCTGCTCGGTTGTTCATGATTGCGGCTCATCTCGATCCACAGAAAGAAGGGCGCAGTGCCCTGCTGGGTATGACACCCCTGATGACCGATGCACAAGGCGTCAAACGCCTTCGTGCGATGGCCTATCTGACCGATCCTAACCATGACGCGGCTTTGCTGGAAGGAAACCTGCAAGCGACCGCGTCGGGAACGCCCCTCGACGAGTCGATGCGGGACGAAGTGATCAACGTCCTGCAGATGCTGCGAAAGGGAGAACGTGCCGACGCGCGGCAGCAACTTCAACGGGATGAAATTCAAGCGGCACTGCAGCAAGGGACCAGCAAGATTACGCTCCAGGATTGCCTGGCACTGGTGCAAGGAAACTGCCCTGGCTGCGAGCAAGGTAAGATCCCGCCCTACATGATGCAGAAGCTTGTTGCCGCCGAGTTAGAACTCAGCACGAGCGAGACTTCGATGGAAGTTCAGCCACAATGGGGCTTCTTCATCGATCAATCGTTCCTCAAGCCGCTGCCGGTGTTGTCGCTCGATAAAGCCACACGTTTCGATCCTCGCAAATGCGTTTACCGCGATGGGAAATGGATCGAACCGGACGGCAAGAACAACTAGCTAAGGGGCGATGAACTCGTCGCTGAATCGACGGACGAACGCAGGATCGATTTCCGATCCTTCTTCCTCGCCAAAGTAATAGACATTCGAGTCGGAAATGTGGCGATCGGCCACGTGGGCGAAGAGGTAAGCGGCGGCCGCGTGACGAATCTCGTCGACCATCTCTTCCCATTCCATTTCGCCGCGACGTTCTTCGTTGACTTTCATCAGGTGAATGCCGAACTTGGTTTGAATCGGCCCGACGAGTTCACCGACTGGGCGGGCAAATGCGGCTTCATGAATTCGTGGGTCAAGCGGTCCATGATGACGAACCCATCCCATGTCGCCGCCATCTTTCGCACTCGGAGATTTCGAGTATTCCTGAACCGCTTTCTCGAAAGTGATCTCGCCTTGTTGAATTCGATCTCGCAGGAAGACCGCTTCACGAAAGGCCACATCCCAGTCGAAATTTTCGTCGGACGGATCGCCGAAGTAAACTTGCGAGACGCGACGAGCCGTGCCATCGAATCGCTGGTAATTGCGTTCGTAATAGCGCCGCAGATTCGCGTCGGTCAGGTAGCTTTTCAGATAGCGGGTCCAAACGATCTTCCAAGCCAGGTTCCGCCGCAGAATCGAGCGGTCGACTTTTCCAGAAGCGAGAAAGTCGTCAAGCGACTGCCCACGGGCGGCAAGCGACTTCTTGATTTCGGAGATGGCCAGATCAATCTCTTGTTCCGACGCGCGGAACTCGGTGGTTTGCAGATAGGTGATAATGACCTGGCGTCGTACCAACTGCGACATCACCGTGGAGCGATAGATCTGTAGCGACTGTTCCGGAAGGCTGTCGAATACGTTCAATCGTTCCAGGTAGCGTTCGATCTCGACATCGTAAATGGGAACGTCGTTAACGCTGGCGACCACCATCGCCCCGGTAATGGGATGAATGAGGGTTTCTTCTGGCAGATATGGCCCCGCGGAAGATTCCAGATCGCCTGAGAGGCTCCACTGATTGGCGGCTTCCGGCAGGACGATCAAACAGATCATCACTAGGACGAAAGTGGGCGATCCGATCCAAGGTTTTGACAACATATGGCTTGCTC